TTTATATGAGAGTTTTTTACTGTAGCAAAAAAGTTAGATGTGATTGTTTGTGAGAGCTTTTTACTGTAAAAAACTCAAATTCTAAACTTGAATCAGCGAAGTGAACGGGTTTTTTACTATAGTAAAAAACTCTCATATAAAATTACATCTCAACTCGAATTTTAAACTCAAATCAGCGAAATGAACGAGGCATAAATTAAAGAGTAAAATTAACTCTAATTTAATTATTAAAATATTTAAAGTCTTCAATTATAATTAATAATGTTACTATTTATAACTCACAGATAATAAAATAGCAATTATGACGAACGACAAAATAACAAAAAAAAAACGATAATTAAACTAAACATCAAGATTTTGACATAATTACTAAACTAACATTAATTTTATTATTCTTCCTAAAGTAATGCTTCTCTTTGCCATAGAGGAAATGAGAAAATAAATATATATCCTAACTCCTTTCTTGATATTGATTCCTAATCAATTATAATGTACACTTATCAACCCAATAGTGATTTTAATTATTCACAAAGATATTTAAGTAATTGAATTAATAGGGTTCTTTTTTTGTTTATAAATTTAGTAATATGAAAAAGGTCATTAGTTCCTCAAAACAAAAAAAGAAAGGGTCATTAGTTGTTTCCTATTCTATATCCAAATAGATAAGTAAGATTAATTACAAAATTTTAATAAATTATGATCCGTGCAGCACTTTGCTTTGTAATCTTCAAAACGTAACTCGTTCATTTCGTTGATTCGAGTTTAGAATTCGAGTTTTTCTACAGTAAAAAGCACTCACAAACAATCACATCTAACTTTTTTGCTACAGTAAAAATCTCTCACATAAAGTCACATCTCAATTCGAATTAAAAACTCAATCAGTGAACTAAACGGGCCAATGTTCTCTCCAAACTATGAATTGTTAATAAAAACCTTGTTTTGTTAACATTTTTAATAGAAAACAAATGTATGATGTACAATTTACGGGTATTTAGGTATTCTATCTATTCTTATAAAATATTAAATCTTTAAAAAAACTATTTTTAATTCTACTTTACATGAAGTACATACTATTAAAAAATGTTATTAAAAATATATTGTGAGTTAAGTTAAAAAATATATTGTGAATTTAAAAATTATAAGTTTTAATTATTTTATTATTGAAAGAGTTTCAATTAACTTTAAAAAGTGTAAGATTAAAAATTTTGTTTTATTTATTATCATAGTAAATGAAAATTAAAAGATATTTTAAAAAATCTAAATATAAAAGTGATGTGTAGAATAATAATTTTGCACCAAACTATAAGAATAATAAATATATGTGTGACAAGTGTTACTTCTGTTATAGATCTTACGGGAAGTGGAGTTTTTTGTTAACGTTTTATAATTCAGAGGGGAGGATGGATGTTATAAAGTCAAACACTAATGGCCACCACTAGAAACGTTTGGTACGATGATTCAAACTAATGTGATTTTAATCATGATTCTAAAACTAGAACCATGATTCATGATTTTAGATTCAAATCATGATTCTGAAACCATAATTCAGAATCAGGAGTTTGAATATCATGATTTGAGTTAGTTTAAAACATCACATCAAATTCAGAATCATCCAAACTAAATATTGATTCTGAACCAGGATTCAAAATTATAATTCTAGATCATCTACTAAACACACCCTAAATATTGCATTCATGCGAGAGAAAGGCATAGTTGTTAGCGGACAATGTCCAAACCAAGAGGACTAGATCCACGACATATATATAAAATAGGTTGATGAATTCGGTAAATCTAGGAAAAATGTTTCTCTCCCAAAAGCAATATATAAAAAAAAAAAAAAAAAAAAAAAATCTCCACTTGTCACACTGTTGTCCACTAGTCTTTCCTAAATCTCCACTTGTCATACTATTTTAAATGTTATTTCCATTTAGGAAGGAATAACATAAGGATATTTATTATTTTGATTTGGAAGGTTTTTTGATATGATTAAAAAATAAATTATCAGTAGTTTTATATTTTTAACCGTCATATTTATATAAAAAATTATCTATCTTACATATTTTTGTAATTTAAAGTGATTTTGATTAGATTTAACAATTAAAAAAATAAATCTTATCAGTAGGAAAGCATACCAAAAAAACTTTCTTTTAATTTTTTATGATGATTTTCCATTTAACAAGGAATAACATAAGGGTATTTTGATTTTTTAAGAAAAAAATATTTTGATTTCAAATGAAAAAAATGGATATATTCTCGTACCAAACGTACCAAAAAAAAAAAGAAGGTATTTATCATTATCCATGTATGTGCGAATGTAATTGAAATTTCCATTCTTCGTTCATATAATCATATGGGTATATTTGTTCATTGCTTTGATTTTTCTTTGATGACGGACAAGAGAAGAATGGCATTTTTGTTATTAACCCAAAAGATTGTACTTTATTTTAACAGAGGTTGCCAACGTTTTAAGGGGAAAAGAAAATTCGAGACGTTTGATTCATGAATTAGAATCATGAGATTATAATTATTTTTGATTTACATGTATTTTTTATGAGAGAAAACACTGTAGCGAACAATAAACCATAATTCAAATCAGGGTACGAATCCCCTTACCAAACACACCCTAACATGTGGTGCATCCTGTAAAGTCTGTCCTTAACACTCCTCAAGAAATATATTCCAAAAGTATCCAAAGGAACCCTGTTATTTTTCACAGCAAAACAATGACATAGACTAGTTTGGTAGTGTTGTGAATTTAAAAAAAAATATATTTTTAGCTATGTTTAAAGAAAAAATAGTTGTTACAAAAAGTAACTTAATGTTTGATAAATTATAATATAATAGTTGTGCTGATTCTAAAATCAATATAGTAGCGGTTGGTAAATTATAAAGTTGAATTGATGTAGATAGTTAAAATGACCAAAATATATCAAAATAGGAGTTCGGTTTCTCCTAAAACAGATATCTTTAAACACAAAGGTAACAATAAGTTCAAATTCTGAGAAATTCACATCCAAATCTCCAAATAAAATTAGATCAGGAATTAAACTTCCATCCCAACTCCCAAGACGCCAACTTTCCATCATTTTCCCACGGATTCTCGGGAACCAAACACAAACAACAACAGAATTTTAATTCCAACTGAAAAACAAAAAGGAAAGAGAGAAAAGAAAGAAAGTTACATGGGAAGGTTGAAGAAGGGAAATGCCCTTGAAAATAAGGAGAAGTTCTTGAGAGAGAGAGCGGCAAGCGGAGAAAGGAGCGCCGAGCACGGAGCGAGAGAAGAGAGAGTGAGCAGCGGAGTGAGAGAGCACAGAGAAAAAGGAGAATGGAGAGAAGAGAGATGAGTTGATAAATGTGATTGGTAAGATGATCATTTTTCGATTTCATTGGGGGTAAAATTGAGAATAAGAAACTTTCATTAATATTGCTTACTAAATTCTCGCATAAATTGGAAGCAGAATCGGAGGGCTGATTCTACTTTTTAGCTTCAGATTGTTAACAAATTATTCAAAAATATATTTTTGTGCTTTTACCAAACGGTTTTATCAACTTTAACTCCAGCTATATGCGTTTTTCCTCTCTCAGAATCAATACCAAATTGGACCATAGACTAGAAGTCAATGGGGCAAGCAAAATTTCCCAAATTTTTCTCCACCACACGCACAAGTCAAAACTTTCAATCTACTATCGGATTGAAAAAAAAGGAAAACAGAAAATAATTATGCTAAATAATTTTTGACATGTGTTATATAAATAACAATTGTTATTAAATAATTTAAAATACAATTATTATTTTATTCAAGCACTTTAATTTTTGAATCTAATCTACATATAAAAATAAAAAGGATTCTTAAAATTTTTAACTTACATTTAACTAATTATGGATGTTTCCTAATAAAAAATATAAATATAAATTAATTTTAAATTAAAATTATAGAATTATTAAAATACTTTTTAAATAATTAAATATTAATTTTTGTTAAAAATTTAATGAAAATAGTTGTTTTTATTAATATTTTATTATTAAGAGAAAAAGATGTAAAAGATGGTGAAAAGAATTCCAAACTGGCCGATTATGTTTTGGATATTTTTCTTTTTCTAATAAAAAAATCTCATTTATTTCACCGATTTAAATTTAGAATTTGAGTTTTGTTACAGTAAAAAGCTCTCAGAAACAGTTACATCAAACTTTTTTATTACAGTAAAAAATTATCACATAAAAGCACATATTAATTCGAATTAAAAACTCGAATCAACGAATTCAAACTGAGTGAGATGTGGGGCCTACGGGGAAAGAAAAATATGCCCATAAATCTAAGGAACCCCGTCCATTCGAATTAAAAACTTGAATCAACGAACTAAGGCCTCGTTCATTTCACCGATTCGAGTTTTCAGTTTTAGGTTCCTACAGTAAAAAGCTCTTAAAAAATGTCACATCTAACTTTTTTTGCTATAGTGAAAAACTCTCAGAAAATATCACATCTCAGCTCGAATTGAAAATTCGAATCCGCGAAGTAAACGAAGCCTAAGGTCTCGTTCATTTCACCGATTCGAGTTTTCAGTTCTAGGTTTCTACAGTAAAAAGCTCTAAAAAAATGTCACATCTAACTTTTTTTACTATAGTAAAAAGCTCTAAAAAAATGTCACATCTCAGCTCAAATAAAAAACTCGAATCCGTAAAGTGAACGAGGCTTAAATAGATTAAAAGAGAGTGAGATGTGGGGCCTACGGGGAAAGAAAAATATTCCCACAAATCCAAGGAACCCCGTCCTTCTTCACAGCAAAACAATGAAATAGAAGTTAGTGGGGGCCAAGCAAAATTTCCCAAAATTTTCTCTCCACCACACGCACAAGTCAAAACTTTCTCTCCACCACACACGCACAAGTCAAAACTTTCAATCCACTCTCGGATTGAAAAAAGGAAAACAGAAAATAATAATGCTTTAGGGTAGGCACTTTCCAGATACTAGCGCACTTTGAAAGGCGAAAAAAAAAAAAGAAAAAAGAAGTAGAAAATGACCTTTGACTGTGAAAGATATAATACCTGGATAATATACTTATTTTTCTTCCTTTATTCTCATTCGGACAGAGAAAAACAAATTTAGTTTAGAGAATGGGAAACGAAAGCTCGAAAGAATCGTCGTCTCCTTTTCCAGAATCGAAGGGTTCGTCTTTGTCGTCGCGGCTCAAAGACCGGCTTCACCTTCACAGTATTCGCCGTCATCTTCATCTTCGCCATGGCAGCGGCGGTTCTGGTTCCTCTGCAGTCAGGAAGCTTCTCGACGCCGATCATTTCGCCGGAATCGCTCTCCTCACTCTCCTTCGCGTATGTCGTTTATTTTTGTTAATTTCTTTGTTATTTTTTTTTTCTCGGAATGTGGAATTTGTGAAGTTTTGCGGTGAAGAAAGTGGAGAAAATGGAGTAATTTATTGTGTGATTGTTGTAGGCGGAGATGGAGTTCAAGGACAAGTGGCTTGCGTGTGTTTCTTTTGGGGAACAGACATTTCGTACCCAAATCTCCGATCAGTAATGAAATACTTCCTTACTCGTTTGTTTAACTGTTGTTTTCGAATTTCAGTCGCTTTTTATTTTCACATTCGTTTATCTTTAAAAGTTAGCAAAACAGTTCAGAAAAGCACAAAAGTTTGACGTTTTTTTACCCCTTTGTTGAGCATAGTAGAAGTCACTTGTCTGGTTTGGTTCGTGGAATATGCGTTTAATTTGATCATCTCCTATGCAAATGCTAATGCCAATGCCATGTTTAACACCAAAAACTGTGAAATTGGCTTAACTCATATGTTATTTTCATTTGTGTTCCGATGCATAATACTATTTAAATGCTAAATCTACTTTTTCATGATCATTAAGTTTTGAAAGAAGTAATCTTTTAATTTAAATTAATTGGAAAATGTAATTGTTGTAATGACGGAAAAATGTAAACATGACTATACTAAAATGTAAGCACATCAACCAATAGAAATAGAACAACTTAATGGATGCAACGGTATTGATGGAAATTAAAAGGATGATCATATGAAGATTAGCAACTGCGAATTGATATTTAATCAAGAAGGGGATTTCCTGTGTATAGTTCATGTGGTATGTTTTTGTTCTTGGTAAGAGTGTGTTTTTATGATTTCCTGTTGATGTTATATGAGACTAAAATGATACATTTTTGTTGTTAGTGAAAGGGTGTTTTCAATTGGTCTTTAGTTAACCTAGAATATCGATTTTTTACTCATTAACTATTATGCTTTATCATTAGTGTCTCATTGTAGGTTTCATTTTCGTTAACACCTATTAGTCCTTTTTCATGTAGACTATGCGTAGCTTCCCAAACCCTAAACCCTAATAGTTTATGTTTCTTGTATAAAAAAGGAAAGCTATGTGTTACAGAATTAAACATCTTGTCAAATTTAATAATTTTAACCTTTTTTCTTTTGGTTTGATACAGCACAGACAAGCCAATCTGGAATTCTGTGAGTACTTTTCACCATGTCTCCTCATGGCAATTAACTTGTCATTTTCTGTCATGTCTCTTTTCTCGTTTACCTTTTTTTTTCCTAACATAGTATACATTTGTCTTACACCTCACCTCAATTAGACAAAACACCTCGGTTCCTGATTCCGCCTTTTAAAACCTTGGTTCTGCTACAAATGAAGCTGCAAATTGGAGGATGATTTATCTTCCATGAAGCAAGAAACCTTTTTGTTCTTAAGTAGAATCCAATATTTAGCTACTTTATCGGCATCTTCAGCTGAAGAATTTAAGGCTTACCTTTCCTGTGTTTTCTTTGAAATGGTGGGAATCCTTTGTTAAATTTTATGGACTTTTTATTTTTTATTAAAAAAGAAAACAAATATATTTTGTTGTACCTTTAAGTATGTTGAATTCTCTTCTGAATTAATTAATTTTCTCTCCTTTTTCTTTTTGGGTGAGCAAATACGCTCAAAATAGGCATACAAGTGCAACTTTATGTTTCCTCTTTCTTTTTAGGTGAGCAAGTACGCTAAAAATAGGCCTACAAGTGCAACTTTGTCTTTCCTTATGCAGGATAAAAAGCTTCTTTTGGAAAAAGATGGACCTCATGTTGCTAGGATATCAGTGTTTGAGGTATGCATCTTCGTACACAGATCTCACTTAGTTACATTTTTTTTTTTTTTGAGAAGCTGATTTTTGTTGAATTGGAAAATTATAATAGAACTGGACAAGTAGTCCTCAAGATCTCACTTCGTTTCATTTCAATGCTCTTGCATTTTTTCTTGATAAAGATACCTTAAATCTTATAATTTGATTTTCTTACACAGTTAAAACGTAAAAGAAAAAAGAAAAAGAAAATGAATGCTAATGATGTCTTGTAAAAGGTTTGGGGCATAGCTGTCACTATCCAGTAACTATGGATTAACATCTATGACGGATGTTTGTCCTATGATATGAAGTGGTCCATTGTCAGTTGGCTAAAAGTTGTGGTAACTGCATGTGTCTAAATTTTGTTAGGTCTTGCTTCCAATGTGATTTATCTTATAACTGCAATTTCTTTTGATAAAAATTTTACCAATGTTTCAAGAAGAAAAACTTGTCAATTTTGAGGATAAGCTGCTGGGTAAAGCTTCCATGTGGGAATTTTTTATTTTTTTTAATTCGTTTTAGCTGGAGGGCTGTTGTGTATTTACTTAGTTTTTTGTCTTGGTATGATTTTGTTTATTTCTACTTGAGGAAAACTCAGTTCTTATCGAATGCAGTTATTAGCATATAAACATAAATCGATTCTTAATGCTGGGTCTTTATGCTTTATAGTTTTCTGCACATATGTTTGACTTGCTTGTAGTGTGCTTCTGTGTATTTCTTACAGTTTTTGTCACTGCGAATTTTATCTTTGAAGCTTGATCATTTACTGATTTTTTTATTTTATTTTTAATTTGTTATATTATTATTATTTTTTGCATTGGAATTGAAAATGTAGGATAGCTTTATCATTGCTGTTATTTCCCTGAAGCTGCTTTACTTCATGAAAATTTCTATTTTCCGCAGACCAATAAACTGTCCAGCAACAAATTAATAGGATATTGTGAGATTAATCTTCTTGAATTCCTAACACAGGTTAGTACCTTTCGCATTTAAGTAAGTCTTGTGTTTAAAAGCTTGTAACTGTTTCATGGAAAGGTGGTTTTTTCTCCATCAAAATATAGCATCCATATTTATCTGTTAATTTATTGTGCCTGGCTACCATTGAGCTGCCACTTTTCGAAGTAACTTGTGAACGTCTGAGTGCGACTTTCTGTAGAATTTTAGTCTTTTCTAGTTATGGCCACGGCTCAAAACAATCATTATTTTGAGCATTTTTAGCAGGTTTTAAGTCAATTCTTTATGTAAATAATTTTATTTCAGCTAAAGAGGGGTGAGGGTGTCATGGTTGTGTGACATTCTTCAGCTAGCTAGAGGGTTAATGTTAGTGGATGGGAACAATTCAAGGTAAATATTTGAATTGACTAGGAAACAGAACAAGGAGGTTGTTGCAGATACAAGACTCACTAAGATACAAAGATTGGACAGCAAAGAGGAAATTGGCATTTTAGAAGAGTGGAAAGGAGATCGTTAAGGAATCAGATGAAGGAAATCATTTTTATTTTTTAAGGATGTAGTCTTCTGGAAACAAAAGATGAAGTTCAAGGGGGTAAAGGAATGGGATGCAAAGTCTAAGCTCTTTCGTAATTGGTAAGTAATATGTGGAGCAAGAGCCTAATTTCGAGATTGGAGAAGGATTACAACACTGTCTTGGAGGATCAAAAGGAGATTATTTCTTTTTTATAATATCTCTTCAAGGAGGATAGTGAGTATTCATGGTCTTTAGATGGCATTAATTGGAGTACAATCTCGGCAGAGAAAGCTATTCAGTTGGAGAGGCCATTTGAGTTGGAAAAAGTAAAAAAAAAAAAAAAAAAAAAAAAAAAGAAGCTATTTTCAGTTGTGATAAAGATAAACGACCAAGTCTAGATGGGGGGTACTTATGGTTTTTAGATGTTACTTTCAGGGTGGGGAATTATTCAGGAATGATGTGGTCAATTCTACGATTGATTGCACTTTTCTTTGTTTTATTTCAAAATAGGATTTTCTTTTAGAAGGATGTGTGGTTTGGCGCCCAATCATTTGATCTTTCCTTCCCTCAATTGTTTAGACTAATAGATATCATTTTGCGGCATTGCTGATTTCCAAATTTGGTAATAGATGAAATGATAGCGAGGTGGAGAACTCATATTCTTTATTCCAAGTCTTGGAGACAGTCTCACTAAGGCAATCCCTTTTAGATAGAAGGTTATGGTCATGAGACCCCGCAGGCTTTTCCTGTAAATATTTCGAACCTCTTCTTTGAACCTTTTAGTTTCATTTGGAAATCATGTGCTTCCTACAAAATCAAGGTTTTTGCTTGGCTGGTTTTTCATGGAAAATTGAACACGTGATAGGGTACAAAGGAGGAATCCTTACTTCACTTTTTCTCCTTCCTGGTGTGCCATGTAGAAGTGATGATGAAACAATTGGTCACCCATTGTTACGTTGTGTAGTGTGGTTAGGGAATTATAAAATAAATTGTTGAAAGAGGCAGGCTTTCTTTCAGTGTTCCCTGCCCATTGCAAATCACTAGTTTTGGAAAAACTGGTGCGTTTTGATTCTACTAAAACAGCTAAAGTTTTTTGGAGGTGTATGGTGATTTCGCTTTGTGAGTTTCTGAGAGTGAATATGCTCTTATTCTCATAATTAGAATAAAGAATACAATGGAAATATATATAGGGGTCGGCTGCAATATACCAGCCATAAGACCCGGTTCTAAATCAAACTAATTAGAGGGAAATCCTCCACCAAAAAAGGAAAGAAATAAACTGAGAAATCTGGTATAATAATACCAGATTCTCCTTATTAAATTATACCAAAAATACAATAACACAATCTCTAAAATTCCTAACTAACTTTGACTAAGAATTCCACACGCTTCTTTGGACAATTTGGATGGAAAAAAATACAAGAATTTTTGAAGTCAAGGAGTTGGAGATCTCGACATCTATGAGAAGGCAAAGTGTTCATCTTCGTTTTGGGTGCCAACGGATAAAATTTTTAGATCTTACATTTCCTTTGATTCTTAACTGGAAGGTTGTGTTAGGATGCAGATTTTCTTGTCTGCATCTTTCCGTTTTTGCTGGTCTTCTATTTAAGATACAGTGCGAATAAAATTTACCAAAAAGGTGTCACCAAATTTCAAATTGCTACTACTCGAGTACTTTTAAGTCTCAGTTATACAAACACACACACACACAATATTTATACAGGGAACCCTTAAAGCTACTGTACATTCGAAACCCCAAAAGAACAGTAACTCCTAAATGTACAGTAACCACTAAATGCACAGTAACTCTCAAAGCCCCTAATGCACAATGACTCAACACTTACATTTTGAGGACTAGACACACAATTGCACAAGGACTTTGAATAGACAATTGGACAATATCAAGTAAAGAACACATAGATTGCCATAAGAAGGAAGGTGGAGGAATTGTTGGGAGAAATAAAAACACTCTTATTTACTTAAAACACAATAGTACACAAAAGCTAATAGGATACAAGGCTTGTAGGAATTCTACGATGTCCTCAATATAGCTAGTGCTCCCTAATGGAGGAAGCCATTACATAAATATTACATATAAACATTACATGGTAGACTACGGAAAGATCCATCATTATTATGCTGGGAGAAAGCTAATAGTTTATAATCTAAAGTAGCCATAATGAGATTCTGCTTTTATTTTTCAAAAGGTGTCATGATGGGGATTCCGTTAATTAGTCAAAAGGCGGAATGATGGTGTTTCTCTGTAGTGCTTAGGTGGAGGATAAGGTTAGGGATGGAGTTGGTGCCACGTAGCCAAGGTGAAGATTACGCGGGGTCCACTCCACTAAGCACTAAGCGTGCGTTTGGTTCAAGGATCCGTGCCATGGCTCGGATCATTGTTCGTGGCTCGCTACTGTATTTTCTCTCACAAAAAACACACGTAAATCGAGAATGGTTCTGAATCATGATTCTGAATCCATGAATCAAACGTCCTCTAAATTCTAAACCCAAAATCATCACCACGCTTCTGACTAGTCTGTTTCATCGAACAATACAGTCTAGGCTTGCCCTGTCCTCTGAGGTATACTCAACCAAATGGAATCATTTGCAATGTTTTATGTACGGGGAAGCCACATCCTTGCATTGTGGTCAAGAAACATTTATTCAGCTATGGGGGAATCTGGTGTTACCCTCTCAGGGTTCTCTTCAATGGGAATTCTACAAGTTGCTCAATGTGGTCATTATTGTCATGCAGTTTCAGAAGCTCTCTAGTCGTGTTTTGCTGGGAACATAGAGTGCTCTAGTATGACGTGGTCATGATTAATAGGGATGACCAATAGTGGCATGATATTTCCCCATATCCCAATGAGTCGCATGATCACCACCATGTTTTTTCAATCCTTCGTCCATTGATTGGTATCATTTCCATTGGTTAGTAGCCTTCGTCCATTGTTTCTCGAGAAAATATGGGAACGTAAATGGCTATAATAACGGTACTAGAAAAATGAGGCCCTGGGTTTGGAAGAAACGGCTATGATAAAGTACGTACCGTGTGGCAGCTGTGTCAGAAAACAATTGGCCAAATTAGTTGTAGTTGGAATGTCATTTTTGACTTTTTGTATCAATTAATTTTTTAAAGCGGCCATATGTTTAATATTAGAAAACATTGTTATCTACTTAAAAGACACTTAAAACTGGCCATTATTGCTCAAATCCCATATATATATATATATCTATATTATATATTTATACTAAAAAGGTTCCCACTTAACATCTTTAGGCATGTGTCTCCAAAATAAAATGTTGTTATTTTGTTAAATGGTACCCGGCAACCCGCTGTTAATATTTCACTTCAGTTGCTACTGCTGCATAACATTTCTTATTTCCTAACTGTTTGATATAATGTTGCAGGGTATGAATTCTGATTTTGAAATCATTGACCTGTTGGATCCATCGTCATCAGACTTGGTGGTTGGAAAGATCTATATTTCATGCTCTGTTGAGGTGCAAGATAAATTACAAATCATGTTATTGGTTAATTTTTGATGTGATTATGGTTTGTGACTTTTATATGACAAATTAACAGGATCCAATTGAAACTGAAACAGGTTTTGCGAGGCGCATCTTATCTATAGTGGTATGTTCTGAATGCTTTCTGTTGGATCTGGACACGGACTCTTCTTTTTTCTTTTATTTATTTTTTCAATAAGAAAAACTTTTCATTGATGAAAAATCAATTACAAGGAGTAAAGGATGAGGTGTCCTCATTGAAAGAAAGGAAGAGAACAAAACACAATAAAAAGGAGTTAACCATCCTGGGAAAGCTCAAACATTTATCTTCCTAAAACATGCATTCATTTTAAAATTATCAAGGAAAAAGAAAAGTCTTTAATCACCTTGTCAGTCGGAGCGCAAAGCGAGGCTAGGAATATAGCTTCTTCAAAACTATCACCCCTATTTCCTTTTCCTCAAATAGCCAGAACAAATCAAACAAAAGATAGCTGCATTAGAAAGTTTAAGTGAAGGATGAATTGGAATTTGTTAGAATCAGTAATTATGGTGTGAAAATTTTACTGCTGAGTAGATTAAGAGAATACGTGTATTACAGCTGTGTATATTTCCTGTGATAATAGTTGTATATTCTGATAGTGAATATCCCTGATTTCTGGGGATTAGGTCTTAGGAGAATTCCCTTTTATAGCATAGTTCTTTTCCTATATATTGCTCTACATTATTCAGTTAAATATACAAGAAATTTCCCCACCTTTTGTCATGGTATCAAAGCTGAATGATCTCTGGGAATTCTTGTAAATTTGTGGCTTGCATTGCCACATAAAAAGTTTCTGGAAAAAGGTTCCAGTTCTTTTTTTCTTCTGGCCTTTATTTCATGACATTTTTTTCTTTTTCAAATCTCTCCTGTTAAGCCCAAATTTCTTTCCACTTCTGTCCAAAATCATGTCTGAAGTTTCTGAATCTACCAGTGAACAAGCCTCTAATCCGACAGCAACAAATGAAATCATCAACAGTGCAGCAGGAGAGATGCAGAATATTCAACCAGGTTTACGTCTTTATGGCAAAAACTATTTGAAGTGGTCTCAGTTTGTTAAAACCTTCTTGAAAGGGAAGGGCAAATTGAGTCATCTTCTTGGGACATGACCTAAACCAGATGATCCGAAGTTCGTTGTGTGGGATGAAAAAGATTCCATGGTGATGTCCTAGTTATGGAATTCGATGATGCCAGAAGTCAGCAATACTTGCATGCTTTTGACAACAGCAAGGGAGATTTAGGAGTAATGTAGGCAGATCTATTCTAAAGTCTGAGATGCTGCACAAATATATGAGATTAAGACGAGAAACAAAACAAACAAAACAAAAACAAACAAAACTTGTAGTCATCTACCAAACAAGGTAATCGCTCGGTCACTGAATATGCTAAAGAGTTTACAAAACTTGTGGCAGGAGTTGGGTCGTTATCAATGTTTTGAGGTGAAGTGCAGCGATGATGCAGCCCTTCTTAAACGTTTTATTGAGAAAGAGAGAATTTACACCTTTCTCGTCGGATTGAACATTGAGTTTGATCCTGTTCGAGTACAAGTTTTAGGAAAGGAAGAAATTCCTTCACTCAATGAAACAGTTATTCGTGGAGAAGAAGGGCGAAGAGGAGTCATGTTGGATACTCAATCGGCAGACTGTTAAGCCTTGGTTACAAAAGCTGCAAATCCTAAAGCTGTGAAATCAGACCAGCAACAGCCGAATGCCTATTCCAGGGGAGTAGGAGGAAATAATGGGCTGTTTAAAGGATCAAGAGCAGGTAATATAGACTCTTTATGGTGTACCTAATGCAAGAAGCCTTGACACAACAGGGAGAGGTGCTGGAAACTCCATGGTAAGCCCTCAAATACTCAAAATACTTATTTGACAACAAAGGTTAATCAAGGAGGGGGACAAAGACGAGCAAATTTGACCTCGTCACAATCAGGAAGAGAAGGAGAGTTCTCCCAGGAGTGATCCAAGTTCAACAAAGAAGAGATTGAGAAGCTGAGATATTTTCTGGGGAAATTAGAGAAACCTATAGGTGGTGTAGGTACTTGTTCCTTGGCTGTTTAGGTAATTCTCAGGTCTGTGCACTCACTGCCGAGTCGATCTCAAAAGGAACTTGGTTGTGGATTCCGGGGCTACAGATCATATGACCCAATCTTCTCAGGGATTTGTTTCTTATAATCCTTGTCCTAGTAATAAGAAAATTGTTACTGCTGATGGAACATTTGTTATAGTTGCTAGTCGAGGGGATGTGATCATAAATCAAAACTTTGTTTTAAAAAATGTGCTGCATGTGCCGAAATTGTCAACTAGTTTAATTTCAATCCACAAACTCACAAAGGATTTGAACTGCATGGTGATGTTTTCTTCTTCACTTTGCAAATTTCAGAACCAAAGTTCTGGGAAGATGATTGGACTTGCTAGGAAAAGGAATGGGCTCTACTTTCTTGAGGAACCTGGTGGGCAAAATAGCACTAAGGATCCTATTCCGTTATCTTTGCTTTCTGAGTCTTCTATTTCCATTAAAAATAAAATCTGGTTATATCATTTTTGTCTTGGTCATCCTTCCATCGGTACTCTTAATATAATGTTTCCTGGTTTGTTTAAAAATTTTATGTGGGTGAATTTCATTGTGATGTTTGTGAACTTGCAAAGCATAAGCGTATTTGTTTTCCAAGAAGTAATACAAGAGCTTCAACACCCTTTATTCTATTTCATAGTGATGTTTAGGGACCTTCTACAGTCCATAATATTTCTGGGGCGCGCTGGTTTATCTCATTTATTGACGATTGTACTCGAGTGTCATGGGTTTCTCTTAAAACAAAAATCAGATTACTTTTCAGAATTTTTCCACATGGTGAAAAATCAATTTGGGGTTGAGATAAAAAGAGTTCGATCTGATAATGCTAGAGATTATTTTAATCAAGTGTTATCGCCATTCTTCAAAGAAAAAGGAGTCGTTCATGAGTCTTCATGCATCAGCACACCACAACAAAATGGAGTGGCAGAACGAAAAGAATGGTCATCTTCTAGCTGTTATCCGAGTCTTTCTTTTCCAAAAAAATGTTCCCAAAAATTATTGGGGAGAGGCTGTTTTAACCGCTACACATTTGATTAATAGATTACCCACTCGAGTTCTTGACAAAAACAGCCGCATGCAACTATTCTAAAAAATTTTCCCCAACTTCAAAACAACAAATCACCTAGTTCCTAGGGCCTTTAGGCCTGTTTCTTTTGTCCATAATCATTTGAACAACTGTGGTAAACTTGATCCAAGGGCTCTTAAGTGTGTCTTTGTGGGATATTCTTCTACACAAAAAAGGTATAAATGTTATCATCCTCTAACAAAACGGTTCTTTATCTTTGTAGATGTAACATTTGTTGAAGCTGAGAATTACTTTTCAAATCCTTATTTTCAGGATCATTCATGGAAGATAAGGATGGAGATTTGTTTTTGCTTGATCTTTCATCTTCTCCATCCTCACAAAATCATAATCCCTCATCATCATCTGTTTCCATTCCATCACCAAATGAGCCAGATCCAAGTACTCCGAATCCAGCAGCAAAGGATAAACAGATTCAAAGTGCTACTTGCCCATTGTAGGTATATTCAAGGAGGAAAGAATCCCTTGTTCATCCAATGCAGGTTGTTGATTCAGAACTAATCTCTGCTGCTGATAATGTTGAGGTACCTCATAATCCTGAAGATCATGAAAGACATGCGCTTGTTGTTGATGATTATGATCTTCCTATTGCAATTAGAAAAGAGTGTTAGGAATTGTATTCAGCGGCCTGTATATCCATTGTCTCACTTTGTGTCCTATGAAAAGCTGAGCAGTGGTCATAAAAGTTTTCTTATCCACATTAACACTATTAGTACCCCAAAAACTCTCTGAAGCATTGGGAAGTAAAGAGTGGAAAGAAGCTATGAAGGTTGAAATGGATGCACTTGAGAAGAACAAAACGTGGGACTTGGTGGAAATGCCTCAAGGAAAGAAGCTAGTAGGATGCAAATGGGTCTTCCCTGTGAAATACAAGGCAGATGGATCACTTGAACGCGATAAGGCAAGGTTAGTAGCTAAAGGGTACGCTCAAACTTATGGGATAGGTTCCCTTGAAACATTTGCTCCTGTTGCTAAAATGAATTCGGTAAGAATCCTATTATCTTTAGTAGCTAACCGTGGTTGGAGTTTGCAGCAGTTTGAGGTAAAAAATGCCTTTTTACATGGTGATCTCAATGAAGATATCTATATGGAGGTTCCTCTAAGATTTGAGTTAGAGAAGAATAAGGTTTGTAAGTTGAAAAAGGCTATTTATGGCTTAAAACAATCACCCATGGTAATTTAGTCTTGATTTCCGTCCTCTATATCCAGCACATATACTTGCCAAGCCTTATCCAAAGGATTACATTAATCTTAGGTTTTGGAAATTTGATGGAGAAATGCTCAGGAACATGTGCTTCGATTCTTGGATGCCTTGGGAGCATGTGCTTCTAATCAAGAACTCAAGATGACAAAATTTTCTAATCACTTGTGAACATAGCTTATGCATGGTAATTTAGTCTGCCAACTAATAGAATATCTGCACCTGGGAAGTGTTACCGACTACTTTATGCACCTTTTTAATTTTGTGGCAGAAAATAAACCTAGTTTGACAGATTTGCCAGTGAAGCATAGAAGGACAAAGAATCACTTACTATCTACGTGAACAGATTCAAGGAAAGAACCCAAGACTGCAATGGGATCAATTAAGAATAGAGTTAATTTGCGTATGTATCAAAGAAATGCAAACGAAGTACATGGTCCACAAAGAGAACTCCATCTTAAGTTTCTCAGAATTGATGACGAAAGTAAAGAATAGAAAAGCATTCATTGTAGAAATCAACAAAGATACGATTCCTGAGGGGGGCGTAAAAGCCACCACAATTAGGGAGCATGGTCAAGCCACCTCTTCCCGAAATAAAAGGAGAAGTTGCTGTGGTGGTTGGTGAAGCAAGCTAAAGAAAGGAGATTTTTTGATACCACCTCAAATACATTTGAAGAAAGAAAAGCATTTGGAAAACCCGGATTCCAGTAAAAGTTCTAAGTTTTTTGCTGGCTTCTCGCTCTTAATAAACTTGACACTCATGATCTGTTGCAGCAACGTAGCCCTTTCATTTCAATTTGTCCTGGCTAGTGTGTGATGTGCAAGAAGGATGAGAAGTCACTAAATCACTTGTCGCATTGCTCTTTTTCTCATCAGATTTGGTCTCTGTTTTTGAAGGAATTTGGACTGCTTTGGGCAATTCCTAGTAGCTGTACAGAGTTGCTCGAGCTCGGTCAACCTTCCAGTCTCAGTAAATTTTATGGAGGGCTACTATCTCGGCTATTTTTTGGGGTATTGGGTTAGAGAGCAATCACAGAGTTTTCGAGGATCATGGGGAAGATAGTCTTGTTTTATGGGATAAAGTGAAATATTGGGTATCATTATGAGTTTATAGAGATAAAGAGTTTGGTCGGCCAATTTTTCAGACTTTGTTAGGAATTGGGCATCTTTTTTATAACTTCGTAGTTTTGTTCCATTTTGCATTTCTGGGATTGCTTTTTGAGGAAACCTCTTCCTCCTGCCCCTGTATTTTTTCCTTTCCTCTTTATTTTTCAATAAAGTTTTTATTTGTTTTCAAAAGAAGAAAAGAAAAAGAAAAAGCTTGGATAGAGTAATGAAATTTAGTGTCAGCCTTTTGATCGACTTCCAACTCAAGAAGAAGCTCAAAATCCAAAATTCTCTCTTTTTCACGTAAAGATATTATCCAACTTCAGATTGCTATACTAACAGGAAAAGTACTTAAAAAAAGTTCGAAGAGAGGAAGTTATCCAAGACCACCATCATAGAGATGAAAACGTGCATCTGCTCATTTTCGTTTTTGTTAGTTTACATTAATTAATCCTGTTAATCTTGCTGGTCTTGTCACTTATTTTCCAGTACAAGTTATATTATTATTCTCTTGTTTTTCAAACTGGCCCAGTACTTTATTTATTGACTTTCAATTTGATTAATCTAGCATTCCTAACATTTTCTGCTTATTATTTATTATAATTTAATAAAGTATAGCTCAAAATTTATTACAAACAGATACCATTACTGCTCCTGGGAAAAAAAAATCCATCTTGCAGATTTTTCTCATCCTCACCTTATAAATATTGGACATTGAAAACTCTGAGCGTTCATACTTTGTACAGGACTATAATCAAGATGGAAACCTTTCATTCTCTGAATTTTCCGACTTGATTAATGCTTTTGGGAATCAGTTGGCGGCAGAAAAGGTGTGAGTCAAGTTCTTATATTACCTTATTAGCGAAAAGAAAAGATTCTAATATTTGTGTTCAAGTCTTTGCGTCCATTTTAACGTAAATAATACAATTACTGTGATTTGAGATCTTTCATCAATGAAATAAAGTTTTTTTATTAAAAAAAACAAGTAATAAAATCACTTTTGTGTTAAAAATAGTAATGATGCACCTTTTTTTCCCCTTTGGGTACAATAAATTATAGAAATTTTAAATTGCATTTAAAAAAAAAAAGAAAAGAAAAGAATGGGGCTACTGGATTTAGACTTAAGTTGCCGATTTCCTTTTCCTTTATGTAACAAAAAAACAAGAGTTCAAAATTTATTTCCATAAGCGTGTTGTCTTTGAGTGTGCTATTTGCAAGGTTATATACTTCACATTTTGTGGGTTCCTAAGGTAACAACCTGAGCTTTTATTATTAAAACAGTTGATAGCTTTGAATTGAAAAATCAAATTCTCATTTTTGAAGTGTTTCAATCAATTGATACAAGGTTATTATCATTATGAGGCTGGCAACCTTCAAAAATTCCAAATGCAGCCTTCTGATATATATATATATATATATATATTTTTTTTTTTTTTCTTTCTTATCTATTCCATTTTCTGTCTTTGTTTGTGTTAAGGTTTGATTCTCTCACTAATCTGTTTTCCTTGCTCTCTAGAGAGAGGAACTCTTTAAAGCAGCTGACAAGAATGGGGATGGTGTAGTTAGCATGGATGAGTTGGCCGCCCTCCTTACCGTTCAACAAGAAAAGTAATTATTCATGTAAATTGTAGAACCAACTTATTTAATAATCAATTTAGGGGTGACTTATGAGACTAGGTGCGAAGGATTTCTTTTATCTCATTCATCGGATATATTATAAATGTTTCTTTCTATGCAGTTGGTGTATGTACGCATGCCTCCCTGCCTATAGTTTTTTTTTTTTTGGTTGTTGGTAACTAACATTGGTGCATCACATAGTGCATCGCACATATACATGCATGAAACTTAAACCATTTGTTTTCATCACTTGTTGGGTTTTAAATATATTTTGGGATTATTATTTAATATTTACGTGTTGGGCTTTTGAATTAGTAAATACCCACAAGATTGGCCATTGTCCAGCCACATGTGAGGGGGAGTGTTAACATCTAAAAACTTATATCGGTCCACCTCCTAACAGCTTAAGCTTTTGGGAAGATTGGTAAACTAACAGTTATCTTACATTTATTCATGGATTCTTCATTTAAGTACCTGGCAACTAATTGGATCATGATGTGAGCCACATTTTATTTGCGTAGAGGTGCGAGTGGTGTCAACATTATAGTTGGTTCTTTATTTATTCTTTATCCAAGTAAACTCATGTGTGTGAACTTAAAGTTATCTTGATCTTTAACCTTCTATTAGAAATCTTTCCCATTTTCCTAACTTTAGATTCTCCACTTTTTGGACGATTCTTGTGTTGCAGGGAACCAATAATGACTTGCTGTCCTGTCTGTGGTGAATCTCTTGATGTTTCTGATAATCTGAACAACATTATTCATCTAACCTTGTGCTTTGATGAAGGAACTGGAAACCAGGTTATGACAGGAGGATTTTTAACTGATTCACAGGCTTCATATGGGTGAGACATGTCGCTACATGAGGGAAAGAGAACATATAGTTGCTTTCAGTATGATTGTTATGAATGAAATAAGTCACATAATTGAATGCTACAATCAAATTTTATATGTAGGTGGATTTTCAAACTGAGTGAGTGGGCCCACTATTCATCCTATGACGTTGGCTTAAAATCTGGCTCAAGTGCTTCCCACATTTTGGTATGTACTTCCAGGTTCGATTTTCTGTTGTAATCTGCTCAGCTTTAGAATTTGTCTGTTTGTTTAGCCTTTTTTTTCTCATTTTTATTTTATACATTGAATGAGCTGTAGGGTTTTTTTTTTTTTTTTTTTTTTTCCGTTTTGACGAGTGAACTGGTTTTTCATAATGGTACTGGCTATTCATTTGCCATTTGTTAGTTGGGAAGTTGTCCATACTTTTCCACTCTATCTTGTCCTGTGGCCCCTCGTGTATTTGGTCTTTAGTTGACAGAAGTTTCAACTTGTAACTTGTAAGCAAAAAGTGATTGCTCAAGATAACCTTCTGCTCAGAAGTGATGTTGACGTGCTTTATCCTAGTGAACTATGCAAATTTTAGTTAGGGACAAGTTTTCACAAGTTTATCTATACCAGCAACTTAGAAAGTTCCATTTGCTGTTTCATATATGTACCTTTAATATTTGGTCTATTCGCCTTAAAGGTTACTGTATGAAGGAACACACAAAGATACGATTAGAGACAACTGAAATGTAGTATGTTCCTAATTCTGAATTTATCTTCATGCTTGGGTGAGAAACAAAAACCATAAGAACATCAACAAAAATTAGTGAAATTCCAATATTAATTTGCAAAAGTTTCTTGGCATTAATTGAACCCCCCTCTTCTATGCCACTCTTTGGGATTGTGATCATAACAATGTCGAACCTTGTGATAGTTTTATCCGTAAGTGAAGATTTTATTGCTCTAGGTATTTGATCGAAGGACAAAGAGGCTTCTTGAAGAATTAATTGATGGGAAAATCGTTTTGTCAATGAGAGCCATTTACCAGTCAAAGATGGGGCTTGGGCTTATAGATAAAGGTACGTGTTAACTAATGTTGACATCTCGGGGTAAAAAAAAAAAAAAAAGCCACACACACACACAAAGAAGAAATTCATTTGATAATAGTTGAATTTGCCTCTAATATGTTGGTATAATATTTGAGGGTAAAAACATCATTTTACGCATATTTTAGGGGCTGAAATTGTTTTTTATTCTTTAATGGGCGTAGGTATTTTAGAAATCCTAACCTCCAAAAAGGAATATTCCATTACTTTTGAGTGACGGATATCCCTGTAAAATTCTTCAGGTCATGTGGGTGTCATTGTAATTAAGTTCAGTCAAGGGGTGTTACTACTCACTACTTGCTATGATATAGGACATTGATATACGTTAGGGTCATTGTAACTCGTCCTCCTTTCAATTTATTTAAATTCAATAAAAAGTGGAGGATTCTTTCAAATGCATCAGCTTCTTTCTTGATTGTATTATCAGTCTTCATGTGGAAATAAACAAATTGTTTTTAGTTTTTTTGTTGTTTCGTTCTTTTATATCTGGTTTTGGTTTTTCTGACATTTTCCTTATATTATTGATGATCTCTTATGTTTACTTTGGTACACCGTATAAATGCAGGGGCAAAAGAGCTCTTGCAGAGCATCTCTGAAAAGCAAGGGAGGAAAATGAGTTCAGTGGAATCCGCTAAAGACATACCAAATTTTGTTGACTTTTTCAAGGCACGATAATGTTTCCCGGTGAATCCAGTAATGAGATTGCGTTATCCTGAATTCACTTTTCTTAAACTGTCTGCATCACAGTTATTGGATTTTGACAGAAATTAAAGGTTTTGAACATGTACAATGATAAATTCCTTCCTAAAAGAAGTACATGGATGAAGCAAGGAAGTGTGAAGCAAATCAAAACTGTTTGTTTTCTAAAATCTGAAAAGAACATGGAATATGGAGAACAATGAGTGTGCATGCATCTGTATATCCATATAAAGTTGGTCTTCCAGCATGTTTCATCATTTGCATGTTTTTAGATGAAAATGGCCATTTTTTAACAAATACTAGGACTTTGACATATCGGAAAGTTTTTTTTTTTTTTTTTTTTGTTAATTTTTATCTTTTTTGTCTGGCGCGTTCATCAAAGCTAAGTTGAAGGATTTTTTTTTTTTGGAAATCTGTGTTACCCAAAACTTCTAGAAACTATTGGACTCCTTATAAAAGTTCCACATGGACCATATAACTCTGGAGAAAAGAAATAACAACAGGAGAATTACTTTATAAAAAACTATTACTTACTATGGTCTTTGCAAAATTTTCTTTTGCCGCGTGATAAATATAGGCTTGGTTTTTGCTGTTGATTTCCAATTGTTAACAATGATTGCCCAAGCCAAATTGATTTCATGCTCGACTCTGAAGCAAAAGTAAGAGGTCAATACTCTGCTTTTATATTATATTACAATTTTGCAAAAGTTTTTAGTGTATTGGGAACATTTGTTTTGGGCTCTTCAGTTGCGTCATGTATGAATGTGTGCGGTTTTGTAAAAGCTTATAGTGTATGGGAACATTTCTTTCACAAAAAGATATACATGAGGTTGCATCTCAACTTGTACCATCTCCAATGTTTTATCGTAGATTTTATTATTCAAGCTTGGCTGAAATGATTGCCTTACATTCTCGCTACAAGGTTTCTCATGCTATGATTTGATTCATTGATTCTGGTAGGAGGCTTAGCTGAGTGGAGTGATTTTGTTCAATGAACAAATTGACAGATTATTTTTCGGTTAGCTATTTGTTCTTGCATATGTTAGGTTGTTTACTTTTTTTGCTAATATTAGAAGTGATTGTCGATGCATAGGGGGGTTGATAGAAAGCTCTCAAATTCCTCTTTCTCCTCTAAATCATGTGAAATTTTGAGGATTGTGTTGTTTAATTCTCCTTTTCCATTTTATGTGGACATGAATTTGTTTATCTTGGCAGTTGATCGATTAATTGTGTGGGATGTTTTTCGTTCTAAACTCTCGTTTTGATCTTTTAAGTTTTCAGTGTTATGGAATACAATTATTCAGATGATGTAACTATCCTGTTGCAGGGTCAAATCAATTTGGCTGAAGCCAAGCACCCTTTGGAACACTATAAGGTCAGCTTCTTATGTCAATTTATTCCTCTGAAAATTATTCCTAACCAAGTGTGCTTAAAATGTGTTAGTATAATGCACCATATTTTAAAGGAAATGACTTTTACATCTATGTTTAAATTTTCTTCTATTGAAAGGAGATGAAATTGTTAATTTCATGTCCTGTTGCCTAAGCTAATGCTTGCATTGCTTTAAGTTATTTGCCCATGATTGGATCTCAGTATGTATATATATGTATTTATATATATATATATATATATATATTAGTTTTATGATTTTTTTATTTTTTATTTTTTTTATACTTGCATTGCTATAATTCTTTGCTCCACCGTTGGTGCTGACTGCTGAGTGTGGTATATCGAGTTTTTGTGTTGGGTAATTTCCTTAGAAAGAAACAAGGTTCTTGAAGATGTAAGAAGGCAATGAACGTAAGTTGTGGGAGAAAGTGAAGTTTCGGTTGCAGTTTGTTTGTATGTAAAAGATTTTAGCAATTTTCAAATTTCAAATTTGGCTAGGTAGTGGCATTTGTTGGCGTAATCTACTTTCTTTAGCTTGACTTGCCTATTTCTTCCCATTTTCTTCTTGTTGTTCTAGGCAGACGTTTTGTCCTCGTTTTGTACTCACAAGTTGTTTGAATGAGAGTGGTGCTTTTACAAAAAAGTGAGTTTTGCAGTTTTAATTCGTTGTTCATCTCTCATACAACCATAATGTATTTAGCTCTCTTGAGTATCTCATCTCTTATTAAAAGGCACTAGATATTTTCTCTTTGGGTCTATCAATAACTTGTTATAACTATTTAGGGTTTTAGCAGTGGAATATTGGATAATAGAAAGGTGGTAAGTGCACTTCGTTACCCTTCTTGGATTTTAGGTGGTATGCATTAAATATACCATGTTACTTTACCAGTTGATCCAGTTCTTAGGAGGTGGGCTAACAATGATTCTATATTCTAACACATGCCAATGTAACTGATCTATTAAGGTCTTGAACTAGACTTCTCCATTTATTGCTATTTTTAGGGAAACCAACCTTCTAGAAGTAGATCAAACAATGGTATTCTCTACCTTTCACTATTATGGACATCTTTTTTTTTTAAAAAAGTATTTATATACAGTGAAATACAACATCAACTCAACTACTTCGAAGATGAAGAATTCGGACTTGAAAGATACAATGTATGCTGAACTCCTGATAGCTGACCTGTGGACTTCAAAACAGGGATGAAGATAATATGAATACTAAACTGCTGATAGCTAAAGCCTAAAGATGAAAATGCTATACATGGTCATAACAGTATGTTCCAAAAACGTGTTCTTTCAACGTTAAAAAATAATAATAAATAAATAACAAAAAACATTTCATTCCAAAATTATTTTCAAGCAATCATTTGTATGGTGCTTCTTGTAACTTTTAAACCTGCTGATGAGCATTACTTTGTTTATTTGACTTTTATGAACATTTTTCCAGTAGTGTTCAACATATGGTTAACAGTGTTTTGTACTGCTTACCAGTTTCCATGCATCTCAACGTCTTAATTTCTTAAACCATCATCCACCTATTGAAAACCTTTAATTTGAATGTTCTGTTTCACTTAATTGGCTTTATGCTAACAGTGACAGTGAATAAGCTAGTGCCTCTTGGCTTTTATTTATTTTTTAGCTTCTAATAACGGGGATGAAATATTTCTACCTTCCAAGCATCATGGAAATCTTTTACTTGTAAAATTTTACACGTTTTGATGATTTATTTGACAATATCCCATGCAGACATTTAATGAATTTTTTGTGAGAGAGTTGAAGCCTGGTGCAAGACCAATTGCTTTCATGGAACGTGATGATGTTGCTGTATGTGCCGCTGATTGCCGTTTGATGGCATTTAAATCTGTAGATGACAGTCTAAGATTTTGGATCAAGGTATTTACACTTGTATATTGAATATTACTGATACCTTTATTTTTTGATGCTTCCCTTTTCTCATTTTATGGAGCAGAATTGCAGCTTACTTTTTAAGGTGAAAAGGAATTGGAACATTGATGATTGATTGGTTTTCTAAAAACAAACGATAACAGTGGACTCTTATGAGCACGTTGAAATAATCTTGGTGTATGAATGTAGCTTTCGTCGGTCAAATTGCTTACATTTATTTGGATAGCTAAAAAAAATACTAAAAGAACGTTTTCTACTAGAAATTCGAGCAGATGTACATTATGTGCCTGTCAAAATGAGCTTGGACACTTTAAATCAATGTATCTGAATTGAAATTCAAGATCGTAATGACTTTCTTTCTCTTTTATCTCCAGAGGACATGGCCAAATATTCATACTATAGCCTTTCCCCTTATTTCAATTCCTCTTCCTACCCTATTGTCTTTCTGTTTTTCTCTTGTGAAATTAGAGCACAGATCTTGTTTCTACTTGTTTATGGCTTTATGCTTCTCCTTTTGTTTGATATTTTTATTTTCTCAACTAAATTTCTCATTTTTATAATAAAAAAAAAATGTAACAAGGTAAAAGATAGAAAGAATATACAAAACTTAGAGTAATTCCCTGTCTCTATTTTGCTCCTCTTTAACTTTCTCAGCTTAGGTTCGTTCTAAACTTACAAGAAGTACAAAAGAGCTAGGGAAGAAGAGAGAAACATACTGAAGCAAAGTAGTATCAACACATGGTTATAAATATGAGTTGCAAATTTGACATGTGATAAATGGCTTCAGCTCGGGCCATATTGTGCCTTTTTTTGGTGTCACATCCTAATCTTATCTTTATGAATTTTTTATTTTAATATTCTCATTAATGAAATCTTTTTTCTTATAAAAAAAATTAATATTCTTGAATCTGTATGTTCTCTGGGTCATATGACCCTAGGGTCGAAAATTTTCAATAAAAGGCCTTCTTGGGCAAGAAGTATGCTCCAAAGCTTTTGTTGATGGATCATTGGTGATATTCCGTTTGGCGCCGCAGGTATACATGTAAATATTACCTTTCCACTTTTTGTAAAATCCTGAGTTTTTGGCTCTACACAATTTCTTTTCTCGTCTAAAATTGGATGACTATTATTGCTTCAGGACTATCATCGTTTTCATTTACCTGTTTCTGGAACCATTGAGAAATTTGTTGATATACCTGGGTGTTTATACACAGTAAGTGGAAGAAAAAACGAAATTGCTTATTGATTTTTTTTTTTGCTCGCTTTTGTCGTATGATCATTTTCCTAATATTTTATTGATTTCCATTTTTTTTCTGCCTTTTTTCCCCAAGGTTAACCCCATTGCGGTGAATAGCAAGTATTGTAATGTGTTCACAGAGAATAAGCGAGTTGTATCGATTATTTCAACTGAAGATTTTGGAAAGGTTTGTCACTGCAATCATTTCACTGTAGAACCTCATATCCGTTTATCTTAAACATGAAGATAACGCATAGAAATCCTCTTCGCACGGTTTTAGCAACTTCTTTTCCTTGTTGAAGGGAACTGATTAAATTATACCCAATCTATGCATCTTAATTGACAAACTGTAGTGGTGGGAGATCAGAATTAAGGTGCTAGAGGCAGTTGCCTTCTTTCTTGGATGCAGAAGACAAGTTGCGGAACAATGTCAACAATCTTTGTTCCGGCCAAAGGGTTTTTTCAACTTACATCATAACATTTGTTATGCCTCTTTTGAAGATTACAGACATAAAACTTGAATGGTTTTCTATTGGATTTGTAACCATCAAGAGGAAGTAATGAATTGAAGTAGTTTATTTCTGACCCTACCCCTACCTTTTCTTACACATGTTTTACCGGTGTTATATCCTGATTCATGTATCGTTCGGAAAGGATTTACCATTTTCCAATTTATGAAATCTATGAAACGAAGAGTTATTGGATTGAAATTTCATCCATTTTCGCCAATTGAAAGTGAAAACCATTTTTTAAAAATTTGACAGTTATTCAACCAGTGTGAGCGTGTGGTTGTGGATAACAGTCATTCAACTTGGTCGTAGTCATCAGTTTTTTTTCCTGTCAGAATTTGGAGCTTAAATTTTATTTGCAAACAGACAGGTTGTTCCTTTCAAGTGACCGTGTGATATCTGATACCTCAATTTTAAACTTCTTCTGCAGGTGGCGTTTGTAGCAATTGGAGCAACGATGGTTGGCAGCATCACCTTCCTAAAAAATGAAGGTGACCGTGTAAAGAAGGGAGAACAGGTTAAATGTTTTCTTTCATTTATCGTTATTTCTTTTCTTTCTTTTTATTTTATTGTGTGTGTGTGTGTACTATCTTGGCTAACAATCATTACATGGGCTTGCAGTTTGGATATTTCTCATTTGGTGGAAGCACTGTAATATGTGTTTTCGAAAAGGTTAGTAAACAAGCATAAGCTGCTGAATGTAGGTGACAAATCATAATCCATATTATTTTTCATGTTGCTGTATGTTGAAAAGTAAAATCCCCTTCACTGCGGAAGGTTAATCTGAAACGAATATCCTGTTCACTGTGATGGAACTGTAATTAGCCTTCTCTCGACGACCAACTGAAAGTATAGTTATGCAATTTTGTTCTTTTATGCACTTGCAGATGATTGTAAGGTTCACGTCCATTGACACTGTTCATGTACTTTCTTGATTCTTTTGATGTTAAAAAGAAAGCATGCTTTTTTTTTTTTTTAATCATTTTCTATGAGAAGAAAAGGAAAAAAAAAATTTGTTAATCGACCATGTTTATAGAATCTCTACAAAACAGTGAAATAGCACAAGCCCTTTTAGAGGATTAATGATTAACTTTATATTATGCTAGCTGTTGCTACAATGTTTGGATCTTGTTTTTTCTCTAATTTTAATATGTTGATAGGAAGAGGAAAAAAAAACCACATTTTCAAAAGAAATAATACTTGGATTAATACTTCGAGCAGAGAGTTTATCCACCAATTGATGTTGCGGTTTTATCACCATATAGCATTAAGAGTTAAACTACAAGTACCTCATACTCTCGAGTCTAAAACTAAGAAATAGTGGCGATTGCCCAAATTGGTAAACAAATTTATTGGTGCCTAACATATTACTCTTCTACGCTTCACATGTTTTGTACATTAATTTGTCTTACATAAAGCCAAATCTTGTTTACATGTATTCTTTTGGGCAATTTCACACTTGTTGCTGGTTCATCACCTGTGAACCCAAGTTAAACTTCATATGGCCGTAGTTATAGATATGTTGATTGTTTCAGCTGCTTATGTGGTTTGTCATGCAGGATTCCATTAATATTGATGAGGACCTCCTTGCAAACAGTGCTAGGTCACTGGAGACGTTGGTTTCTGTTGGGATGAAGCTGGGTGTATCGAGGAAAGCGTCCGACGTTGTATTACCAAACTTAGAAACCTGTTCCATACAGGATTAGAGTACTTTGTTAAGTTAGAATTATGGTGGATAATTAGCTCCATATTAGTCTAAATTTGGCATGGAATACTAGCACGCTTTAGAGTTGCATATTATGTAAGTTATATATTGTTGAGTTTGGCGACACTCTGGATCAAGTAAAACTGAATCCCGAACCTATGCATTATTGATTGCCCAAGGAAAAAAAAAGTGTATTTAGGCTTTATATTGACTGCTTAATGGTAATATTAATCACCGTCAGCCTCTTCTATTGTTTCTATGTTAATTTCCAGTGGGGTTTTGTAACTGTTATTTTAGTATTGTACTGTGATCATCGTTATTTTCTTAGTTTCTTCCATTATTATTAGAAAGTGTGTTTCGTATTTATGTCTGTAAACGACGGAGAGAAAATACTTCATTTTCTCTTATTGTTATGTAAATGCCCTCCTTTTCTTTTTTCTTTCCTTTTTTTTTTTTTTTTTTTGATAATGGAAATGCCCTCCTTTTCATTGCTCCTACAAAATGTCCAACCGTTTTCCTCTTGCTTCAACGATATATTTACCAATCATATTTTTGGTGGGAAAATTAGTAGCCTTTAAATTTCACGTTTTTGTAAAATTTACCATCTATTCCTGACAACTGCACCCATGTCTTTCAAATTTGAAATGTTTGTTTAAATGTTAGTATTCCTATGAGTTCACATTGAAATTACGTTCCAAGAAGACCTTTTCTCCAATGCATTATCAAAATGTTATTCTCCACTCATATCAAGATTTTAATAGTGTAGCTTAACATTGGAACCAAACAATCAAATACAATAATTGACCATTGCAAACACCAAAATCAATAGAGATCTGGTGTTCTTGAGTCGCACTTCAAACGTTTTCTGAACATGAAGACACAACGCCCACATTGTTGACGTAAGCTTTCTCATACACATCTCGCTTAACCATATTTTGTGTATACACATCTCGCTTAACCATATTTTGTGTAGAGATTGTTTCGCACCAGATCTAGCAAAGAGACGGCGACCTAGTGTGAGGTCATCGGCATTGGCTTTATGCGCTAAGTCGGTAAGAACGGCAGAGAAGAAATATGAAAGAGTTTTTAAGTCGTGTTTGGTTATGGTTTAAGGTTTGGTATGTGTACGATTATGGAGCTCAGAAAACCCTAAATCATGTTTGAAAACAAGGCAGGGTATTTCAGTAATATAAAATATTTTTTTCAAACTTATTGCATGGTTAACTGGGTAACAATGTAACCTAGTTCAAATGTAAAGGACGTAGATGCAGCTCATATATCTTTGTTTCACGCTTGTATTTGGGGTTTAGTTTTAGACGTCACAATATAGGAATCAAGCAAATGTCAGCGAGACACTTCTTATATAAGCAAATCCCTACCGGCAGTTGCTTCTGTAGCCTTTTAAAGCACTCACAGAGTCGTAAGATGACAGCTTTAGCTATTTCTTTAGACAAGATTTTTTTTTTTTTTTTTTTTGTGTGGAATAAAAAATGGAATGTACTAACAAAATTGAGGAATGATTTTTAAAAAACTATACTTTAAGTACCAATATTAAACAAGAGAAACCAATCTTCAAAAAATTCCCAAGATAAAAACTAAAAATCCTAACCTTACTAAAATTGGCTGGTAAAAATTCTGAAAAAGTTGACCAACAGAGAAAATAACCACCCATATGTGAAACACAAGAGAAGTCTAGAAAATGCTGAAAGGCAGTAATGTGGGAACAGGGGCATGCATAAGTCACCTGTCTTCATGCATAAAAATGATTCTCAAACTTACCCCTGAAAACACGGAGACTAATATAGCAGATGGGCTAGAACACTGAAAGTTTAGAGTTTTTAGCAGATAGACAGGGTGAAGTTAAGAGTCAAAGAGAACATGGTGCAGGAGAAGGCATAATTAGCTTTAAGCAGATGCCATCAGCCCGACGAAAAGGACATCACGGCTCACAACTTTAAAGTTATGGATTCTTGTAAATGATCTCTGCTTGGTTTGAAGCACGCTTAAAGCACAACAATTTTGTTACCAACTCCCATCGATCACTCGTGAAGACGGGCTCAACAACCATCCTCTCAAGCGCAGGTGAATTTAAAAGCACAAACTTGATGAAATCCATTTCAGGTTTGGCTCCAGAGATACCAGTTATTTTCACGACTCGCAGTTTGGAGAACGGCAAATTCCAGCAGCCATCTTCCCAGAAGTTGGTATCTATTCCTCCAATAGTTTGTTCCTCTGGATGGGCCTAAATACAGATTATAGTATCAGAACATGTGGAGCTCTCTAAAGTAACTATAAAATTTGTAGGTGGAAAAGTTCCGTAATATAAAAAAGAATACATGTGCAAATATCAATGTGTTAGAAAAGTAGAATTTCTGTCGAAGATATAATTCTGTTAATAAAAATGATAAAACTCACCGTCATTTCTAATTCGTCAAGATTCGGAGCAGTACTTAGGAGGCAAAGAAATGTTAAAGAATCTTCGTGGTTGTTCAAATTTATGTATATACTGATATATTTCAGTTCAACATGCGGTTCAGGCAGCTTATGGGGCTCAATGCCAACAGCCAGATACTGGATCAAAAAGAAATAGAGCAATGTAAAAAATCTCATCCCAAGCTGAATGTATAAACAAATTCAACCAGTTTACTGACTGTCAATCTACTGAAATACAACAAAATGCCCACCAAAAATTTGGGTTATTTGGTACACTCAAAGTGCTCCATATGAAAGCAACAGCGAGGAAACCACGCAACTTTCTTTTTCTTTTTTTCTTTTTTTTTGTAACTTAAAATAAGAACAAGTTTATTTAGACAGTACAGTATATTTATGCATATAAGTCCCCTGCTTATCTACTGAACCTTCTAGCACCCAAAGTGCAAATCAACCACCGAGGAACTCAAACCCCGTGCTACCCTTTGGATCAGAAGATACAAACCGTACCAACCATCCTAGATTATGCAGTAGTAGGAATCAAGAAACTTGTAGCAGAACTATTTAACTTTGAACCCAAGTAAATGAAATGAACAGAACTATTACCTTCAAAGCATACTCTTGAAGTTTAAGCACTTTAATGGTGGGTAGATTAACCAAAATTTTGAGCAGGTTGCTAGAGTTACGAAGTGCCCGGCATTGGTCATTCTTAACGTTCTTAAGAAAAGAAATGAGAACCCTTACTAAATTGAAGGTATTTTCAAAACTAATATCCTCAAGAACGCCGTCAAAATCAAAGTGTCGTAGCTTTGGCGCATTAACGTTCATGCGGGAAAGACCTTTAATATCCGCCAAATATAGGATTTCAAGATTTGGGCAGCTAGAAATCAGATTTTCTAAGAAATCTTGTTCCAATGTTACATTCTGAAGATCTAGTCTCTCCAATTTCCTAAACCCTTCAAATATTGATGGAGGTTTGAGCGAACAATTGTACAACTCCAAATTAGTCAAACTTTGACAATAAAACAAACAAGAAGGCACCTTGTAGGCTTCACTCTGCCAAATTTCAAGTACAATGTTCTCAATAGAGCGTCGTGACAGATGAAGAATCCAGCGATCTATGTCACTAACGGCTTCGAACTCTCTATGAGAAAGCTCAAATTTATGTATTACACCGAAATGAAGCACTAGAACTCGATCAATTATACTCACAATCTTACTGGTGATGTCTGTCGGATTTTGATAAAATGGACAAAACACTTTGTTAAATACAAGATAAGGAACCGTAGCCCATTTGTACCTCCACTTGCTTGACAAGATACTCGTCCTCACCGCATCTCTCATCGGTAGATGCAACAAAATTCCTTCTATAACATTGTCTGGCAAGTTCGTGATTCTATCTGGCTCCATCTTTATTTTTGCAATTGGACCCGGGTGGTTCTCTTGACAACTGAATTACTTAACGAGACAAGGTATCAGAGATCAAATACAATAACAAAGGTTATTGATATTAAGTATTGAGATGGTAAGCTACAATACTTGAGAATATCTATTAAAATTTCTAGATCAATTTTTGAGCATTAACTTCTGGTTTTCTGGTAGTAAAATATACTTCTTATGCACATCAAAGTGCTGTGCGAATACATGCTAAACGAACGGGAAAAATAATAATAATAAGGGTAGTAGTGTTAATAATATACTGAGAAAGAATCTGTAAAGTATTAGGACCGTTTAATTCGCTGATTTGAATTTTTAATTCGAGTTGAGATGTGACTTTATATGAGAGCTTTTTACCGTAACAAAAAAGTTAGATGTGACTGTTTATGAGAGCTTTTTACTGTAGCAAAACTCGAATCGGTGAAATGAACGATGCCATTTGCTGTTTATGAGAGCTTTAATAGCAGATCTATATCAATTTCATTGCATTGGCCATTTACCAATAAAAAGGAGTAAATTTCTAGAAGAAAATAACTTACGCCTAGAGCACTTCGTTTTTCCAATGTAGTTAGTTGAAAGACCGTTGAAAAGCTACTCCCAAATCCAATTTGCCTGTAGTAAACACTGAGCAATGTGATCCACCCAACACAAGTTTTTCAATATAAAATGCACCCAAAACACGTTTTTCGCGTTGTTAGTCCTGACCTATTAGTTAACGAAAAGATTTGGTCTTTTAAACACTTTTTTTTTTTTTGAGCAAATTATTCCCTAAATTCATTTGAGTTAAGTAGTTTTGATCCCTACAACCTAAAATTAATAACGAGCATTTGGAATTTAACGATATACTAATCACATAAGCCTTACATAAATTGAAATTTTATTAATCCAACCAAACTTTACCATTCTTAAACAGCAGAAAAAGTAAAAGGAAAAAAACTCTACATTTATAGGAATTGGCTGGTGAAAATCTGTGAAGAAAATGCTTGAAAGGAAGCATTAAAATAGCGAGGAGAGCAATAAAAAATAACAATGAAGAAACAAACGGGAGAATAAAATTAAAATTTTCCTTCTGCTTTGATCGGCAGAAAAATGAGATTGTCGTACTCACCTTTGAAAGCAAAACCCAGAGAGAGAAGGGGCTGAGTGAGCGAGCACGAAGGAAGGAGGAGTTCGTAGTACCTCATCACTGTAACTAAGTAAGGTTTAGCTTTAATTTCATTTTATTCCCTAATTTTTTAAATGTCAAGTAATCTGTAAAAATTATGAATTAAAATTAGAAATATATAAAATAAACTAAAAATTAATTTTCACGGATATATTTAAAATTTTAGTTATTTTTAATTTTAGACTCTAATTTACACAAATTTTATTATATTTTAACACTTAGTTGATAAAAAGACTGAAACTAAAATAAAATAAAACATCATAGACTATTTGTACAACGTTTGTAAAGTCAGAAATTAAAGTGAGATTGAGTATAAACTTCACAGACTATTTGTGAAATTAATCCAATTTTTAATATATTACCCACCGCATAAATCTCCATCACTACAAAATGGTGAGTCCTACTTACTTATATAGCGGGATCCACTTTATATGGATAGCGAGATCTACTTTATGTTGATAGCGAGATTTTAACCCCATCATGATAAATATGGGGCTCAATTTTTTTCTCCATCATTGTGGTTTGGAGTTTTTGACTAATATCAGGGTAAAGAGAAAATTATTGCACTTACCAGTAGAGCGCATGAGTCTGGATTTTTTTTCCTCACTCTTGATTAATACCCTTTTGACTAATACGATTATTTGACTAAAAAAAGTATTAATCAATAGTATAAGATAAAAATTTAGACTCATACACTTTAAGAAGTATTTGTCTTCTTTCTCTATTTTAAATGTCATGAACTATGTTCTCTATTGCAACGTACCCTTAAATTTTGAAAAAGGGTTCTTTTCGTCTCTTGAATTATGTACCATAGTTTAAAATACATGTACGATTATAATACTAACAAAATGACATGACACAACTTATAATTTTATAAATGCCTTTTAAACTATTAATTTAAGGGATAATAGTGAATATAACCATCTTAATCCCAAATTCAGTGAATAACCACACTTTTTTAAAATTAATGAAATGATCGGCAGTAAATCTGACAAGCTCCGATGATCTTTCAGCTCCAATCTCACAAAGAAGAAGATGACAGAGAACAAGAGGGAGATCGGAAAGAGGGGTAGATTGATCGGAGAAAGAGGCAGTATAGAGAGAAGAAAGGAACAAGAAGAAAGAGAAAGAAGATTGGGACAAATTTGGAAAACTAAGAAAAGATATAAAAGGGTGGGTCATATCCCAAAATTAAGAAAAGTTGAGCCAAAAATTTTGTGGTGGGTGAAGGAAAGGCCACCCAGCCCAATTTCTCTTCATATAAAGTTAATTTGTTGCTGAAACTATTGTTTTTGTATTATTTGTTTTCTGAGGTTTTAAAAGATTGAGGTAAGTTGACATAAAATTAATAATTCATGATGCATTTATGAAATCATATTAGTTTAAGAGGGGTATTGAACCACTTTATATACTTTAGCTAATGAAATGAATTTGAGAGGCATGTTAAACGAGTACATGCTCAGAGGTATTTTTGAATTGAATTCTAATTCCAGTCATTGTAACTAAACATTGTCGTTTTTAAGAGATTACGGCTTTTTACAAATTGTTGTCGTTTCCGCTCATTATCAGTTTTCAAGTACTTGTCGTTTTCTTTAATAATTATCGTTTCGATATATATTTCAGTTTTTCCTAAATATAGTTCTAATAAATATTATCGTTTTAGAGCGATTGTGATTTTTCAGATAATTGTGCTTCTATTACTTGGTGCCTTTTGAACTTTTGAATGATTGATTTGTCGTTATCCTTTGTAAATTATAATCTTTGTCGTTTTTGTTAAAATTTGTCGCCACATGCAATTTGTAGTTTTTTATTTAGTTGATGTTGTATTATGTCTGTTTTACATGTTGTACTCAGTTTTTGATTATTCTAGTTTTATATTCATCTCTGTGTGGAAGCCTATATTAATGTTGATTGGCTGCTATAGCTATATATATATATATTCAATATTCATTTGGAAAAAAACAACCACTTGCAACAAGATCTAGTATTGAGGCTGAATACAGTGCTTTGTCAATCACAATTAATCATGAAGTTTTAGGGATAAAATGTCATTTTAAAGAGCTAAGTTTGGAGTTAAAGGACCAAAAACAATTGATGAGTAAAATTGCATTGTTGCATTGTATTTTTTTTTTTTTTAAAATACGCCTTAAACTCACAAATCAGTAACAATTGAAATCTAATAACTGACAGACATTATCAAATTGATAGTTCAGGACACAAAATTTAGACATAACATGTTTAAAAAATGATGAGTTTTACCTTTTTTTTGTGTACTAATCTCATATCTGAAACCATCAATTTCACAACGCTCATTAACTATTAAACCTTTAAGTGCTACTTATTTAAAAGTTTGAAGTGTTAATTTGTTAAAATTTAAATTTTGGGGTGCATTAAAAAACGAAAAGTTTTGGATACGACAGTGACCCGACTGCAATAAGTATAGCTGACAACTCAGTTCAATATCACGAGACAGACAAAGCACAATGAAGTAGATCAATGAATATTGCATGAAGGAAAAGATTGACACCGGCCAGATTTGACTCCCTTTAAATTATCTCAACCAAACAACAATTTGCAAGTCATACATATCACATTCACTTCTATCATAGAGAATCTGGAAATACATAATAATGATAATGATAATAACAACAACAACACCAGCAATAATAATAATAATAATAATAATGCATCAGGAGGAAGTGCGAGTGTTCATGAATGTGTTTGAATCCAATCTGATCTCATGGATCCGATTTTATATTTACTCTTATAAATTAATAGTGTCCTAATTTTGATTGGTCGTAGCTGTTAGGAATCCTCTTTATTGTAAACGTTTTATTGTAAACGTGTGATTAGTTAAGGGTTTTTTTTTTTTTTTTTTTAACCTGGCTAACATTGCATCTATAGATGTCCCAATCCAACGAGATCAATTGAACAGGTTGAGAAAAAACTAAAAATACCACCCTGATAAAAAATATTATTTATGTTACTACTTTCAAAAATAAACAATAATTATTCAATTAATAAAGAGAAAATAAAATACCACAATAACACTTAATTATTTAGAGTGGCATAAATAATAAGTCTGTATAAAATCACAACACACTATGTACTTTTTCCTATAAAAAAACTTAGTTTTATGTTTTCAAGAAAAAGTCTTTCAGTTTAGATCATATTTAAAAAAAAAAAAAATACATAAAAAAATTAAAGGGCATGTTTGTTTAATATGTTAAAACTCAAATCATTGAATCTATTATAGTGTTTTTCTCTCACAAAAAATTTAAATTATCAAACATTAAAATTAAGAATCATACTTTGAATATACCTTTCAAACGGGCTCAAAGGGTATACATGAATATTTTAATCAATTTAACACAATCTATAAAACACACTGATGGTTGTAACACTTCTAAAAATGTAATATTATTTTTATAATATAAATGGCCTAAATTGAAATTTTTGCAAATTCGTCCCTGAACATGTAAGGTATCAGCGGCTGAATTTTAATTTTGATAATTTACTCTCCAACTTATAAAATAAATTACCTAAATTGGTATTTTTGCAAATTCGCCCCTGATATTTTTGCAAATTTGTCCTCACTCACTTAAGTTTTAGCAAAAAAAAAAAAAATCAGAGCAAAATCCATAAAATAGGACATCTTATAATAATTACACAAATTGAGAGGAAAAATTATCAAAATTAAAAAGTTAATACGGTAAGTTGTCTAAAATATTCTTATTGAAATTATTGAAATCATCAATGAAATAAAAAAAAAATCATCAATGAAATAAGAAGCTTTTTAGGGGGCAAAAAAATCCTCCAAATAAAGCACGTGCATAACCACGTGCTCATTAACAGTGTATTAAAACGAAGAGACAGAAAATGGATGAGTTCGTCACAAATTCGAGAGTAGCTACTAATAATTTTGGTCCCAAGTGATCAATCACTTCATTGCAACTAAAAGACAAAAACCTTCGATTAAACGCCATATTTTTGGTGCCCGTTCGGTTTGTTAATTCAAATTTTTAATTTGAGTTAAGATATGATGTTATGTGAGAGTTTTTTATTGTAATAAAAAAATTAAATGTAACTGTTTTAAAAACTTTTTACTGTAACAAAATTTAAATTCTAAACTCAAATCAGTAAAAAAAAAAACCTAAAACACTACATATATACACATCGACATGCCAAACAAAATTATTCTAGAATATGATAGCCCAAAGTCGGAACAAGTATATTATAAAGCTAGTTTTTGCTGACATAGAGGATGATGTTATGATATTGAGTGGCCTATGCTGGAAAACTAGAGTTGTAGCTCATATTGGTGTCTTTTCTTTTTTGATTTCCAATTCCATTAATAAAGAAATACAATGATTGCAGATCCAGATCCACGTCCATGGACGGAGAAATACAAGTCTAACATTAAATTCATGTTATATAAACATGATATGTTCCACTATATCACTAGTATGTACATACATTCAATCCGGTACTCAAAAATCATAGATCACAATACAAAATTTACACCAAAACGGTAATGTTCTCTTTGCTAGCAGAGAGTAACTTACTAATTACCGTTCAGTTCGCTGATTCAAATTTTTAATTCGAGTTAAGATGTGATTTTATGTGAGAATTTTTTACTGTAGTAAAAAAGTAACAAAACTCGAATTCTAAATTCGAATCGGTGAAATAAACGGAGTATGTCATTGTAATGTGTATTTATATAGAGCTTATTCATGGTGCTCCTTGCTAGTGAGTTCTCTCACTCTATTCATGATCTGTGGATATTGTTGACACGTAGTCGAATCACGTCAAATCTTTTATGTTCTTTTTTTTTTGGTAACGTTTGGTTCATGAATTTAAAATTATGGTTTATTATTTTGATTTTTAAAATTTAAATTTTTTATGAAAAAAAATACTATAACAGAACTAAAAACTATGATATTAACTCAGACAAGACATAACATTTAAGACAAACGTTT